CAAGGACTCTGGGACTCTTAGCCATCAGCTCTCTCTCTGTAAAATGTCTTCGTGAAATCCCTTGGTATGTGAAAGTTTGTTTCTTATTGGATTAAACACTTGCTCTCTACTGAGCACAGCACTTTATAAAAATATTAAATCCCGTGTCCTGCCAAGATTAATTTGGAATCGAGGGCATTCTAGAGATCTTTAAGAAATTAAGTTATTGGGAAAAACCGGTAGAAACATATGTATAATTGCAAGTATCAGCACCGTTTGCTGAGTGGTTGTTTTTATCTTGCTGTAGAAGAGGTGGGGTAGCAGTGTTCACCACTGCAGCACGCTAGTGCACATTGGCACAAACACCAGCAATATTTGTACCTTTATTTCTGGAAAATATTTCCCCTAATAATTCAAAGAGCACCAAGGCAGATATTTCCACATAAGAATGTTTAAAACTTGGAGATTCTCTGGAGGTGATATAATGAGTTTCTACTGAGCATGTACTCTGGGTTCTGTAAGGAACACCCCTATTCTTTACGTATGAACACAGTCTTTCCCAAACTGGACATCCGTGAATGCACCCAGGGTCTAGGGGTTCTCTTACCAGCACCAGCCTAAATTTATCAGGAATTATGATGCTCATGAGGCAGCTTGGGATGTCGCAGCTTACAGGGAAGCATTGTGTGAGAGACAGGGAAGGTTGTTCCAGCAGAAGGCTTCAGGGGAGGCGGCACATTTCATCTGTGGGTCTCAGCTCGTGGGAGGCTTACACAGCCCCCTGTGACTTCTGCAATCCGCGGTCAGAGGTTAGGTGGGAAAGAGCCACGCAGATGCACACTTCCAGTACATTTCAGGTCAGGATGCTTTTATTTCTGGTAAAGTCTGCTTTGCCCAGCTTGAATCAGGGAATCAGGGAATCAGGGAACTTTTCTTCTTCTTCTTCTTCTTCTTCTTCTTCTTCTTCTTCTTCTTCTTCTTCTTCTTCTTCTTCTTCTTCTTCTTCTTCTTCTTCTTCTCCTTCTCCTCCTCCTCCTCCTCCTCCTCCTCCTCCTCCTCCTCCTCCTCCTCCTCCTCCTCCTCCTCCTCCTCCTCCTCCTTTACAAGGGGAGACAATTTTCGAAAAATCAAAAAGAAAAATCAGATGCCTCAAGGTATAGAAGAAAATACTTTAAAATCATACGTGATATCCCACCATTTACCGCTTTTTCAACTGTTTTCATTTATTAGAAGAGTTCTAGATACTCTCTTGAAATCTTTGGGGTCTAAATAGCTTATAAAATTCTTCCAGGGTCTATTTTGGTAAAAGTATTTGAAGCCACTGCTTTAGAATGTCCAGTTGTCAGAGTGCGGGGAGGGCGGGTACCTGCAGCCTGCTTGCGGATGGGGAGGCAGTCCTGGGATGGTCTCATCGTCTTCCTCCCTCCACTTTGTCCTAGAGTGTCCCTCGTATGAATTTCTCACTGCTGGGTTTCCCCTGTCCCAGGTTCGCAGAATCCCAGACCTCACAGCTCCTGGTCCCCATCCCGTTTTGGTTTTCTGTCCCTGATATCCCAGAGCAGGAATCTCACCCAGTCAGTCATTTGAGTTAGTCTACCAGCTTCCGCAATGGGCAGTGGCCGTTCTTGTTTGAACCTGTGGTTTGGAACTTTTCCTATTGTTTCAGTCCTGAATGGAGGCTGAACCTGTCTCCCACGATAAAACCTGAGAACTTAAGACAGTCCGTCCTTTAGTTCATCACGGTAAGGGCCATCACTTCTAGGCAGTTCACAAGCAGCAAGCCATTTAATCTTCAGATAGCCTTGGGAAGTGCACACTCCTGTCACAACGCTCGTACAGCTGAGGAGACTGAAGCACACGGTGAACAACGTGGTCGCAGTCACACAGTCACCGGAGAGGCCGCTATGTGAATTCGGAGAGTCCCACTCCCGGCTCAGTCACCACGCCTGGGCGCATCTCCCAAGTTTCAACATTTACATGCAGGAGCGGAGGCTTCCGAGAGGTGGTGATAGACTCCACCCAGGGCTGGTGAGGACCACCGTGGCTACCGCATGGACTTTCTCAGGGCGGTGGTGGCAATCAGTGGTGGCACGTAGGTTCTGGACTGGCCGTGTGTATTACAGCCTGAGAAAATCGGGGGGGGAAGTTGGGGGACGCAGAGACCTACTGCAGGGTGAGAGTGTGGCAGTCCATCCACATCTCTTCTTCCGTTAGTCCTGGGCGTAAGATTCTTGTGTGGCTTTGTCTCCCTGTGTCTGTCACACTCTGGTCTGTATCTGTGTGTCTTCTTTCTTTCCCTGTTTTTCTTTTCTGAGACAGGGTCTCATGGAGTCCGGACCAGCCGTGAACTTTCAGTGTAGCCGAGGATGACCGTGAACTCCTCTTGCCCTTGGCATCCAGCTGCAGAGAGTACAGGCGCGCGCGCAACCTTTCTTAGCCTCACGGCCATCGCGTATGTATTTAACTTAGCCGTGTAGACGTGGTCAATTTGCATCCCAAGGCATGCGCAGCACGTAGCTCCCCTATGTTATGTTAGACAGCAAATGCTCTTACTACTTGCGACTGAAGGCCGAGCTTGAGCTTTTAGAGGTGCAAGCTGGGGAATCCTTCCGCTCCCACCCTTCTTAGCTCTTAGCAAAGTACCTGCATGGTGAAGGAGCTCAAAATGCATTAGTTGCATGAATAATGAGCCTCTTCACAGCAAGGGTTAATGGATGGCAATTTCTTACAGGTCCAAGTATTCTTAGCATTGCTATTCAAATTCATAATGCCCCAAGGTATTGCTTATAGCCCACTAATGGACTCCCAAATCAACTCGGTTGAGCTATCATTATGAGAAAATTATATTGACTCTATTATACAGTAAACAATGGAGTTCACTGAAGATGGAAGTAAATGTTAATTCGTAAGATATTTATTTGGGTGTGTGTGTGTGAATGTGTGTGTGTATGTGTGTGTGTGAGAGAGAGAGAGACAGAGACAGAGAGAGAGAGAGAGAGAGAGAGAGAGAGAGAGAGAGAGAGAGAGAGAGAGAGAGGGTTGGGAAATGGGGTGGTATTACTGTGGGGCTGAGAATGTTTGGTGTGCCAAAAGAGTAGACGGGACCACTGTTGCCTGGGAGCAGGAGGCAGGCTTGGGAGGCAGGTTCTGAATTGCCTCCATTTTCACTGTATTACAAATTCGAGGCTAGAGCAAACACACAAGAATATCTAGTCATATTGCAGAAGGGGAAAGAAAACCACAATTTATATCACCCCTCATCTACACTGTTTAAGGTAGGAAAGGTTGTCTCTCAGTCACCGTTTCTAGAATATAGCATAGCTGTTTTTTGGAAAAGGCCAGGGGAATTCATAAGTGTGCCTAAGCAGTCCTGCTGCCATACAGTTTTCCAAGGTAGACAATTACAAGTATTTTTAAGTTTATGGCTTTCACAAAATCTATAATATGCAGGAGGATTGCCATCTCATAAACTTATCTTTTTACTGCTTTCCATAATCGTCATGAATGTGTGTGTGTGTGTGTGTGTGTGTGTGTGTGTGTGCATCTTACTCTCAATCCACATGGAGAGGGTGCACTTAGGTTACCAACTATACACACTTGTAACCCATTCTTCCTCAGACACAACTGCAGGAAAGCATGTAGATGCTGAGTCAGGCAAGGATGCCAAAGCCATCACGTGAATCTACTTGGTAATGTAAGGAGAGAAACGTCAGGACCTGCCTGCTTTTGGGAGATCCCACCCAAGAGGCTCTGTGTGTGCCTGGCATTGCCCCTTGCTTACAGCTTCACCAAAACTCATCCAGCCTCTTTTAAAAAAAAACTCTTAGCCATATCTCAGATCACATCACCGAGAGAGGCTGGCTCTGAGATAAGGATTCACATGCAAGTAATTTATTAAAGAAGTCCTCCCAGAGTGCAGCAAAGACACGGGCAGAGAAAAGCAAGGCGTGGCCGCAGGCGAAGGTCTTGGAGGCTCGCTTCCTCCTGGGAGTTTTCCTTATCCAGGCCAGGGGCTGCATTTTCAGCCTCTCGGACCATCAGTCATTCTGGAGATTCCAGACCGCCCAGGACCTCCAGCAGTCTGTGTGTAACTCTGCAGCTGGGGCAAGTTTTGTAAGGACAAGTCGCCAATGATGCCACAGGAAACACTGGCGTACCAAGGACGCCCGCACAGACTCGCAGATGAGCGCAAGGGAGTCCCAAGGCCTGCAGTGGGCAGCATGGCGTGCGATGGAGTTGGTTAAGAGAACGTTCGCCCAGCTCGAGAGACACGCACACTAGCGGGAGGAGCACAAGAGCTGGAAAAGCCAGCTGAAAGGAGCATCTCGGAGTGTGCCCGCACTTATCTGGGAGGAAGATGCGTCCTTTAGTTTCTCAAGCCCTCTGACCACTTACCGAAGACCTCCTTCTCGCTGCGCTCTGTCTGGAGATGAAAGAGACGGGCTCAGCAAGCACTTTGTGCCGGCTTGTGGTTCTGGAGCGGGAATGTGTTCCTCCCACCTGGCACCAACCCTGGCATCGACTGCCATTTCTACCATCCTGGTTTTGTTTTGTTTTTTTAACTTTCCAAATGGACTCAAATCTAAAAGTGCCAGAGACACCAAATAATTTCACTTGGTAATGCCTGAGAGGGATTGCTCTCTCTTTATTCACTCCCTCGAGCTGGAGTGCTTTTACCTTTCCAGGTGTCTCTGTGGTTTGTGTTTGAGATGTCCCCTCTATCATTATGCAACTTCAGAGCTGTTGCCATTTCAGGGTGAAATCTCTTCTGTGTCACTTACCCTGACTACCCCCACCACCTCTGTACCTAGAGCCAGAAATGGCAAAACAGTAGAACTAACAAGTTAGTTAGAACACATGGTATCAGACATCAGTATGCCAGTTTCAAACAGGGTGTTAAACGTTTTAGTAGATTCTCCTCCTTGACCCCTCTCCCTGCCTCCCTTTCTCTTCCTCTAGTCTCAGCCTTAAGAGACTGGGGAAGTAGGAAGGCTTGCTTTCAGCACCCACCCCTTCCTCTCTAACCCAGCTTTCTCATTTTTTCTGTCCTTTGCCATCTGGTGCTAAGTGTTGCTTGCTTCTCGGTCCATCAGGGCCGGGAATTGAAGACTCGTGTTTGTTAGTCTTAGACGATGTCTATGATTTGAGTAACTTCAGCTTTTTATTACTTCAAAAATGTTCCTCCCTTAAGTTTCCTTTATTCAGCCATTCTTTCTGCTAAGAAATAGCAGTGAGTGTCACATGACCTCATGTGTAGTCATGGGTCAGCGAACTGTAGTGAGCCAGTCGCCATCATCTGAAAAGACCTGGAAAATACAGAAGTGATGTTTTTTTTTTTAATGCTATCTTAAAAATGAAGCTGTTCAACATAGTACAGAGGGAAAAAAGCAACTCTGGAACTTAAATGTCTCAGTGATCAAAAGCATACACTACTCTTGCAGAGGACCCAAGATTGGTTCCCAGTACCCATGTCTGAAGGTTCACAGCTGCTTGTAATTCCAACTCCAGGGGATCTTATGCCTTCGTCTGGCCTCTGTACATGCCTGCACTCATACATCTCCATACAGACACGTATACATACATACATACATACATACATACATACATACATACATAGTTTTTAAAAAGAGAAGGAAAAGTTTAACACTGGGCATTAGAGTGAGATGGGACTGAATCCATGTTTCGTGTTCATTTCTAGAGATCTCCCATTAGTTACTTAACTCTCCTGAATCTTTCTGACCTACCTTTACTGTAGAAAAATAAGATTAACAATCGCTTTCAATTTCTGTTGTGCTACTAAAATAAAAACTATTTTGTGGCTGACGTACAGATGCTATCTACTGCAGCTACTGTGCTAACAGACTGTAGGTGAAGTGACCAACTCACAGTGATAGTAATGAACAAATAAGTTTCCGACCCTGAAAAGATGTGATGTAACTCTTAAATCATACTGTAGCTTACTAGTGCTATTTTGCTATTTTTGCTTTTTGTTCTGTGGGGGAGGGCACTGCCCAGCTCCCAAATAAATCACATGTGGGTTTATACTTTCTTATGAATGCCTGGCCTTAGCTTGGTTTGTTTCTTGCCATATTTCTTAATGCAAATTATCCCATGTGTCTTTGGCCTTGGCACTTGTATATATTTTCTTTCCTTCTTACTCCATGTCTGGCTGTGTAGCTATGTGGCTGTGTGGCTGTGTGGCTGTGTGGCTGTGTGGCTTGGTGGCTGTGTGGCTGGGTGGCTGGGTGGCTGCGTGGCTGGCCCCTGAACTCCTCCTCCTTTCTCTCTCATTCCCAGATCCTCTTCTGTCCCATATGTCTCCTCGTGTTTATCCTTTCTGCCTGCCGGCCCCACCTGTTTCTCTCTCCTGCCTGCCTATTGACTGCTCAGCTCTTTATTAGATCATCAGGTGTTTTAGACAGGCACAGAGTTAAGCAAATGCAACATAAGCAAAAGCAACACACATTACATATATATTTTTCATGCTATATATTTTGGTCATATTCTTTTCTTTTCCATAACTCCTCCCACGTCCTCCCCACTCCCTATGCACCCAACTTCCAGTTCTGTTTTTCTCTATTAGATATAAACAAAAATAAAAAGCAAAATGAAAATCAAAATAGAAAAAAAAACCAGAGACATAAAAAAAAACCACCGAACAATGCCATGTACCCAAGATATTACATTGAATGCACTAGGCAAGACTGGCTACAGAGTATATCCAGAATATGCCTGTAGGGTCATATATGTAACATTGGTTACAGGTTGATCTCAACTCTGGTTCCAGTGTGATACCCAGAACATTGATGCCGCTGATGTTCAGAACGTTGATTGTCACAACCCAGTTAATTTCAACATGCTGACTCTTTGTGATGTTCCCCTGTGAGAACTCTTATTATAGGAATAAACAAAGATTTAGCATGCATTTACAGAGAGGTAACTGGCAAGTTTGTCACTCAGCCTACATTTATAAAAATTTAAAATGCTTCTGTGTCAAAGATGAACGTGCTACTCTGTGGTATTGAAGTGACTGTGAGCTGTGTGTGAATGCAGAAGCATGGGCACTTTCGCCAGTCCAATCGTGATCAACTCAGCTATCTGGGGATGAGTAATTAGGTAATGGAAAACATGATATTAATCTTCAGTAGATTCAGTAGTTTATATTCTCATAAATACGTGTTGCATGATAACAGTAAGCTATACTGTGTACACCGAAACAACCGACTAATTAAGTCAGCCTCCTACATGAAATCATTGGAAGAAATCGCAAAGACATGGCCCAAGCACTTAGTCAGAGTTGTCAACTTAGTCCATGGGAGGATGATTTCAGGGTCAGAATCACAGGGTGACAATACAGCGGTAGAGCAATCTGCATCCAATTATGTTCACATATTTGTTAGAAAAACTGTCAGATGAATTGCTCCAGCTAGACCTGTTACCTATATCTGATAGGAAATGCTGTGAGAAGACAGCTTGCCACAGAGGCTCTGAGAGACATTCATGTTAGAAACAAAAGCTTGAATGTGTCGATGGGAAACAGGTCATGTGCAAGCCATTAACAAATGGATACTGGGGATTCACTTGAGAATACTTTCCCACTGCAACCTGGGTTCAAGTTTATCTTTCTCCTTTTGGTTGTATATGATCATGAAGACTTTGAAGCATGGTGGGATTGCTTCATGTGGGGAAATTAAAATTTCAAAGACTATCAGAAGCCCAAAAGTGTATTAACAGATATAGAAACTGAATACATTTTAATGCATTAAATAACTCTCTCTGATAAACTTAGATCCTTTGACCTAGCATACTATAAAAATGTTGTTTAGAACATTTAGAATCAAATGCTCCTCGGATGGGTGAGTTATCACTCTAGCTTTTCTTCTGCAAGTCTTTGACTATTGAGTAAAGGAAGCTATGTGTTCATCACCATCTTCCTTCTTTTCTTTTTGGTTTTTCGAGACAAGGGTTCTCTGTATTGCTTTGGAGCCTGTCCTGGAACTCGCTCTGTAGACCAGGCTGGCCTTGAACTCACAGAGATCTGCCTGCCTCTGCCTCCGGAGTGCTTGATTTAAAGGCTTGCACCACCGGCAGGCTGTGTTCATCTTCTTACATTGTTTCAGATTCCTTTTGTTTTGTGGCATTGTAACATTTGCACATTGACATTTATCATTTTGGCCTATTAACTTTAATTTTGTGATGGACTTTGGGATAGTATTAAACTGATATTTTTGTCAGCACATAAACTGGCATTATAAAGACAAATTATTGTTAGACAAATAATTGAAGAGCATTAATGAGCAACATTGACAACATAGTTCGAACAGATAACTGACATTTCTGTTAGTATGTAACAGTCACCAAAGTTTGCAATATTCCTTACCAACTAGTTGTCATTTCATTTACCCAAATCTGTTAATTATCCTATTACATATGTGGGATATGTTTAGATCCACACACAAACAATAATATTTTCTCAAGTAACTGCAATTCCATGTATACCAACATTTATTTTGGATCTAGGGACCAATGAATACAACATGGTGATGATTCCTACAGTCATAGTGCACAAAGAATTCCACAGAAGCTTTTGGGAGGACTCTCCCACTTACTCTAGGTCAGCTGTAAACCACTTTCTGAAGGGTACATGAAATTTGTAGGTAAAAATAAACTTTCTGGTTTTAAAAATAGAGCATTACAGACAGATTTCTAAGAAATAGAAACAAAGCATAGTGCAAGTATGAGTATATGCTTGGCTATGGAGAACATTTAAAATTATTGGAGCCCTTTCTTTTTCTTTAACAGACTTAATTCACTTTATTTTTCAGGCATAAACACTCTGTGTATCCACGGTTAGAGCTGGTGTCTTATGAGCATAAACTCTGGTGTGGGTTTTCACAAGACTCATGACACTGTTAAAGTAGTCAGTTTGCTATCGGCAAGTGAACAGACATGCAGATTAATGGAGCAGAAAAGAATCCATGAGCACACCCAAGTACTGTCGGTTGATCTTTGATGAGGAACATTGGCCATTTCAATGAAGACAGAATGGTTTTTCAAAATGTGCTAGAACTAGACATCTGCTGTGGAATATGAGTATGTCCTTACATTTTCACAAAATTGGTTCAAGATAGAAAGTATACTAAATGTAAATGGATAAACAATAAAATGACTAGAAGATAGCAGGAGAAAACTTAGTCTGCCCTGAGTTAGCAGATGGTAGAGTGAGAAAAAATGCCAAATGCATAATCTACAAAACAAAATTTGATGTTAGAGTTCATGAAATTAAAAAAAATGTTCCTGCTCAACAAAAGATAGTATTAGAGAATGTACAATCTTTGAACTGGGAGGAAAATTTTGTAAACTATATAGTAAACTATATAACTTATCTAAGACTTGTAACCAAAATATACGAAGACTCATTAAACTAGAGTTGTAAGTACATAGCCTAATTTTAAAAATAGGCAAAAGGTATGAATGTTTCACCGAAGAATATTTATGTGGCAAATAATTGCCTGAAAAATAGGTATGAAAGATTTTCCATTGCTCTTGTTGCTATAGGTCTTAAGTGTGTGTGTTCTTACTTTTCCCTCCTCTAGAGCATGCTTGATATTTTCTGTCTTTGTATATAGTTTTCTATCAAGACTAAATCTTTTTCTTTAGACTTAAATGGGGAATTGCAGTGAGACATCCACCCCGTCCACACCTGTAGCACAAAGGGAGGACTAGATCTGGGGTCTCGGACCCCAGAGATCTCTCTTGCTTCTGGTCGGGTCACAGGGAGGATCCTTGGAGCAGGAACCTGTGGCTGTTACCCGCCTCTTGTGTAAGTGCATTCTCCCCTTTAAAAAAAAAAAAGAAAAAAAAAGAACTGCAAATTAAAACAATGAGATAACTACTCACCTTGAGGAGTGGCTGAAATTAAAATAAAAATGTCAACAAGGGTGCTGCACAACACACACTCTCACCTTTGGCTGATAGGAATGCAGAATAGCTTATCCACTTGGAGGAGAGTTTGATAGTTTCCTACAAAGACAATATTAATAAGAGGGAACTGTGCCGGAGAAAAGACCGAATATATGTGGGATTTCTACGATTTGTTGAATTTTCTGTAAATACCTAGCGGCACCCAAAATATTCTCCCACTTACAGAACTGTTTTCAAAATGTAAGTTCAGTAATAAATGGTCAGATTAAAATAGTCAGTGGGGACTGGAAAGATGGTTCATCATTTAAGAGAATATGCTGCTCTTTCAGAGGACCAGAGTTCAATTCCCAAGACCCAGGTCAGGAGGGCTATTACAGCTGCTAACTCCTGCTCCAGGGGATCCTCTGTGGTCACTTGCAAGCAAGTATACATACTTGTGCATGTGCAAGTACACATACACACACACACAAGTAACTAGTAAAATAAAATATGCTTTATAAGTTATTTCTATGCATAGGTAAAGTGGAGCAGTTGAAACTTTGGACTATCAAGAAACAGAAACATCATGAATCCTTAGATTTTTTGGCTTGTGATCCAAGCATGGTTCTGGAGATAAGAATAAGTTGGATCTTGCAGGTAGAATAAACTTGGCTTTTGTGAATAATTTTTCATCCAGACAAGCTAAGAAGAATTTTCCACACTCATGACATGTACTTTTACTTTCTGTTACTGCTTATGTATTAAGAGATGAACAAGATATTATTTTTTAAAAGAGCATTCTTGTATTTTGTTCTCTTTAGAAGCATCCAAAAGGTTCCAGGTTCCCAAATTTCCATCTTTGACCTAAATTTATCTCCCTGGTTCTGAAGTAACACAGGCATCTCCAACCATCAGGGCTTCAATACCAGCATATGCAAACCAGTTCCCCCAACACACCCCACCTCCGGCTTTCCTCCTCGGCTGAAGGTAAACACCCAGGCCAGAAGTTCTCAGATTCTTAGTTTTCCTCTCTTCCTTACAGCCTTCAGCCAATCCATTGGCAAGTCTAGCTGTCGCCTCTGGTTCTAAACGGGAAGCCCTGTAGCAAGTGATCCCGTTCCATGCCAGCCCATCCTTGTGTCCTCTGTGAATGACTTGATAACCTCCTGCCCGTCTTCCCAGGTCCCTCATTTGCCCTCTCACTGCTCTGTGTTTTCCTGCAATCTCCTCTGTTTTCTCCAATATTATATGTTAGCTTTAAAATTAGTAAAATATATATATATTTACTTAATATATATTTAATTTTAGGTTTGAACATAAATTTCACTAATCTTGGTGAACAAAGTCAGAGAAAACCCACGAGCCTGGACAGCTTAGTGATGGCTGGGTGCGTATTTGTCCTCTCCTCATTCCCCAGCAACTTTCAGAGCTTCACGTGGGTCTCATTATGACTAAGTCCCGAAACTCACTCACCCCAGTCGCTACGGGATGTACGGCAAGGCTTAAGAAGGAGGCGAAAGCATGTTTCGTAAACCACCCAGGACCAAAAAGCACTGATCTGTTGTTGTTTTTAGTTTTTGGTTTTTTGGGTGTTTTTTTGTTTTGTTTGCTTTTAAAGTCTTGGTCAAATTTCTTTGAATTAAAACGACCTCTTCATTAACGTCCCTAGCTCAGAAGAACAGCACAGCTTCAGAAGGGATGGCGGCCAAAGCTACGTGACATCCTCTGCTCAGATGGTACACACGGCTGTTTATACTTGGCATCCTCTGCTTGTCCGGACTTAGGACTTCTCTTGAGATTAAACGTTTTACAATTGCCTCTGTTGTTAGGACCTGATCTCAATGTCCTGTCATCGCTGTGTAAACAGACCAATGACACTTCCCAACAAGAGCAGCCTGTCCATCTTGGGTTCGATGTTGCCTCACTCTGGAAGTGATCTCCAGGCACACATCCACATCTCTCTGTTGCGTGTCAACAGTCACCATGCCATTGCTTGAAGATAAAGTCACCCGGGCAGCCTGGGTTGTCATTACAGCAAAGAGCAGAACCAAGTCCACATGGCTTTAGAGCAGTGGGTTAATTTGTCTCTGGGACTTGCCTCAATACAAGCGGTTCTAGGTTGTCGGAAAGCTGTATTTCCCCATTCAACTTGATTCTATAATCTAGGGAAAATTAGGAAGATTTAGGGAAAAACATCTATCCACCAAATCCTGTCATACTTACTTTTATTCCACAAGACAGAAGAGAAATGAGGAGGGCTCTCCCATGCATACAGTTTTGGGGTTGGCTCACCTACACCTCCACTAACCGGGTTGGCTCTGTTGCGCTGCCCTGGTGAAGTGCGGGGCCTGCTCTCTTGAGTGTTGTAGGCTGTGGGGAGCAGGGATAACTCTCCCACACTTGTTTTCTCAGGGCCAACTCTCCCTCCTGTCTTAGATGTTGATGGGTTTCAAGGGTGGGGGTGGAGGGTGGGCATCTCTCCCCAGCTGTTCTGTTGCAAAAGTTTGAAAATTAGAAAGTCAAAGGTGTGAAATGGGGACGGGTGTGACGAAGCCCAAGCCATAGAGTTTATTACAGTGGCGGGAGACAGACAGGAGACACGAGAAGGTGGGGGGGGGTAGAGAGAAAAAGAATTAAGAGCGCAGAGAGTGTATGAGAAGCGGAGAGAAAGCTTCCCCGTGGAGTTGGACCCTTAAAAGGGGAAGGTTGCGCATGCACTGTAGTACGTACTGAGTCATTACGCAGCCCCCATAACGTAATGAGTGGTGTATGATGACGTGGCACGCCATTGTGCGTGCCCCTCCTGTCGTCGGGAGGGTGGGGTCAGTACAATACCAGAAGTTCCAACAGTCTGGGTTAAGAGTATGTTAAAAAGCTACATAACCAGGAAGACCCTGAGAAGGATGCATGGATTGCCCTGGGAAGGGGAATTAGATGAGATCTTCTGGGTAAACTGGGAGTGGGGCCGGCAAAGGGGAGGGGATAAGGGGTGGGAACATGAGGGAATGGGATGGTGGAGTTGGGGGAGGGACGCGGGGGGAGAGCAGGGAAAGAGGTATCTTTATAGAGAGAGCCATCTGGGGATCAGGGAGAAACCTGGTGCCAGGGAAACTCCCAGGAAGCCACAGGATGACCCCAGCTAAGACCCCCTAACCTTAGTGGAGAAGTTGCTCCAACTGGCCTTCCTCCGTCGTCAGATGGGTGAGTACAGCTGCCGTCTTGGAGCCTTCGTGCAGTAACTGATGGAAGCAGATGCAGAGATCCACAGCCAAGCAACAGGCCGAGCTCTGGGAATCCAGCTGACGAGGGGGAGGAGGGATCACATGCGCAAGGGAGGTCAAGACCATGGAGGGGGAATCTGCAGAGGCAGCTGAACCAAGCTCGCGGAAACTCATGAACTCTAGACTGACAGCTGTGGAGCCTCCACGGGACCGGACTGGGGCCTCTTAATGTGGGAGACAGTTGTGAAGCTTGGGCTGTCTGAGGGGGCCCCAGGCAGTAGGACCAGGATCCGTAACTGGTGCATGAGCTGGCTTGTTGGAGCCCATTCCCTATGAAGGGGATGCTATGCTCAACCTTAATACAGGACGGGAGGGGCTTGGTCCTGCCTCAGATTAGTGTGCCAGGCTTTGCTGACTCCCACGGGGGTCCTTACCCTTTGGGAGGGGTGGATGGGCTGGGGGGGATGCGTGGGGAGCAGGAAGAGGGCTGGGAGGGAGAACCCATGGTTGGGATGTGAAATGAAAGTAAAAGGAGAACAGTTCATGTTAAAGAGCTGGGCCACGTTTTGCCGTGCATAATCTAGGCAGAGTGTAGAGTTCCCCTATAAATAGGCTTGCGTTGCTTTGGAAATACGGGCCAAGTCACTAAAAAGCTTTAGAAATGACAGTGGGGCATCACAGGGAAGCTGGGGCCAGTGATAACCTAGAAGGAAAAGCAGAAGATCTTGAAGGACTCATCCAGTTAGTCTTCACTGATGGAACAATTGCTACTTCTTTTCTAAGAGTCCTGGACTGTTTGGTGCACACATCACCAGAATTCTGTGTTGTACCAAACTCACATTTCCACGCTGCGTCCTTGTTCTTAGCTTTGGCACATGCTGTGAAAGGAGAAAAGTCCTCCTCAGGACCGGTGGAAATGATTTTCAACTGCTGGCTCTTCACTCTTGCTTTCCCTTGTGGGGATTTGGATGGTATCTTCATCTAGACAGGGAGGGCTGGCTGCAAGCGTTATAAGTGCAAAGCAACCCTTCTGATGGGATTGGACTTCCTGTGTGATGTCGTGAGACTTGTTGCTGTGTCAAAGGCAGAGACAGGAAATCAATAAGGAGCCTTCCCATGGCAGTTCCAGATTTTCTCTACTTTGAGGCTTAGTTCAGTTAATTGGATTTCCTCTTTGCATAGTATAAAGTTCACATTGTGGTGGGCTTGGCTTTGTTAACAAAAGAACCATTAAGAAACCCGTATTTTCTTAGGGTATATGGAAACATGAGTCAGTATCTTTGGAGCCTCTGTTTTTGTTTTCTGAGTGATTTTGCTCATAAGCACAGAGGGAAAGGGGAAATTTTTAAATTATATTAGAGCCTAGACACTACTCTTCATTCTAAGTTTTAAGCCCACATTTCTCTTTTAAAAGTACAGCAAATAGATCTTTTCAATGTGCTATAAACTCAATACCCATCCTTGTTAGGTGTGTTTATTCAGCAGTCTGATGTTTTCTTTCAGTGGAGTCTTGACAAAGGCAGATGTATGTCCTCAGTCCAACATGTGGAGCTGAAACCCTCTGAATTAACTGTGTTTATCATGGGGTGTAGAGAAAGTGGGGAGGAGACGAGAGAGAATGCAGAAGAGACATTGGCGTTGATGGTACACCATGGAATAGTTAAACGCTGGTTGACACATTGGCGTTGATGGTACACCATGGAATAGTTAAACGGTGGTTGACACCGGTTGTCTAGTGAGAACAGCACAAATAAAGTGAAAGGTTGAGTCTGAGTGAGGTTGGTGTTGACTGTCACCGTCACTTCATAAGTAGAAAGCAGCAGACCTACTTCTCTCCCTCAGTCACGGCAGTATTTCCAGACCAGGACCTCTTGCCTTATCCAACCCTTACTCCAAGCCTATAAGCCACTGGTTACTATTTTATTTAATGTCTCATCCCGTGGTTACTCTTTCGTCTAATGAGATAACAAGCTGGGCCCCATCAGTCTTGCAGAGCGCATCAACTTTAGTTGTTCACTTGGTAGAACATTTACCTCTGGGTGCAGGTGGTTCTGTGGCTGTTTCAACAAGATGCTTGTTGAGTGCTGCTATGACTAGTCAGAATTGTATTTTCTGGACCAATCAGCTTGTTGGCTGTGAGGTGCTAATGTAAAAAGTAGGCACTTGGGTCAAGCTTGAGCAGAATTGTATAAAAAGGTGTCATTCCTTCTGTTGGGTAAGCCTGAATCTCAACAGCACATTTTTAAATTAGAGTTTTCTTAGTAAAAACAGCCAGGGATGGTTCCAGTTGGATTTTAATAAACTTGGTAGAAAAAAGTCAAGTGATCCTCAGACCACAGGCCGTCCTGCTGAATTTCAAGACACTGAACTCCTTTTCAGTTTTTTTTTATTCCAACCAAATTGTCCAAAATGCAGGCTTCTGCTCTGTATTGTGAGGAGTTTGTCCCCACCTCAGCCTTCTCTGCCCACACAGGCCTCAGCAGCTCACAGCTATGACATACTAGATCAGTACAAGTGCCTGCTAATGCAGCGTTGACATCTTGGGTACTTGGTCGGGAGCACAGTTACGCACTGTGCGAGCCTCATTCTAGTAGAACTGTGACTGTACGCAGAGCTAAGACAGTGTCCTGTCCACTTGGGAAAACTGCTGTGGGCAACAGCAAAAATGATATGCCTGGGTTTAAAAGGTGTCTGTCCCTGATATGGTGGACTCAGTTGTGGCCAGTCTCCCATTGGATTCATATGTTGAGATCCCAATCTCCATATCCCAGAAACCTAAAAATTTATTTCTGTCATTTTCAAGTATGTGTACATGTGTGTGTGTGTGCGTGTTGTGAGTGTAGGTGCCCTCAGAGGCGAGAGTCGTATGATCCCCCAGAGCTGGAGTTACAAGCACTTGTGAGTCACCAGACATAGGTACAGGGAGCCAAATACTGTGTCTGTAAGAGCGGGACTCACTCTGAAGCACCGAGTCACCCCTACAGCTCTGGAACTTCTTCAGTAGTGTATTGATATCTGACTCCAGCAGACGCAGCAGCAGCAAGTGATAAAGAATGTATAGCCGAACTTGGGCTTTGTCGGGCTTCCGCTGTTAGGAAAGGTCTCACCAGGCAGGTTCTTGGCCTCCCTCTGGTCTAGCCCTGGTCCCCATCTTCATAGTCTTTGTTCAGGTCTCCAGTCTGAGCACTCATGACCGTAAACTTTCTGGCTGCTTTCTGACGACTGTGAAGTTATTCTCTGCGGTGGACCCCTGAGGTTTTGTCCTCTGCTCTTGCCCCTCCTCGTTGGGTGAGATGTCACATTCCAGTGGTTCTGCAGGAGCCCCTTGTCACACTGGACCGGAAGGGATGGGATGAGACGTCCAGCTCAACCTGGTCTTTGAACATCTTTGAGAGTTCGGTTCCCGTTAGAGTGGGAAGCTGCAAACTCGGAAAACTCGTGGCTTTGGGGTGTGTGTGTGTGTGTGTGTGTGTGTGTGTGTGTGTGTGTGTGTGTGTAAGAGTGAAGCAGAGTACTGAGCGTCCCCTCCCACCCCTACCCCGCATTCTTTGTCTGTCTGTCTGTCTGTCTGTCTGAGGCAGGCTTTCACTGTGTAGCTCTGGCTGAGCTGGAACTCACTCTGTAGACCAGGCTGGTCTCAAACTCACAGAGATCCGCCTGCCTCTGTCTCCCGAGTGCTGGGATTAAAGGCGAGTGCCACCATACCCAGTTCCGGCTGCATTCTTAAGTCTGTGTTTTATAACAACAATCTCAGTGTTAGAAATAAGATTTTCCCTCTAATGCGTGCAGCTGAAGTTTGTTTCTGCCACCTGGTTCAGAAGCAGCCTAGCTGGTATTACTAACACTCTGAGTCCTTGCTGTTCCCTGCTAAGAGTTCCTTTCTAAACAGCAAGCCTCCTGGGACAAGGGTACAGGCGTATTACTAACATGATTCCAAATTTCGTCTCAAATTGTTAACCACACAGTCAAAGCATTTATATATCAAACCCAACTTTGCCAAGCACCTCCTTGCAGCTTTGAGAAAGGGGAAGGATGACCCAAGCATTGCGATGTGATGGCGGTCCATGGCTCATCCCTTCTGACACGCTCGAGCGTGGAGATGCAACACCACCTAAGGGGTGCTGTGGACAGGTGAAAGGTCAACAGGAAGACAGGCTAATTCTGATTAATTTGCTCGGGGAGGTGTGTTCAGAGTAGTCTGCACATGGGGAGTCCCAAGAGCTTCTCAGGGTGCAGTCCTCAGAAGGACAGGAAGTAGAGGTGTGGCTCATGGTACGGCTGAGCTAGAGGGAGAGCAGAGGAGTAGCAGAGGGAGCCGCACCTCTGTGAAAGTCCAGGCAGGGTTACGTGTGCCCATAACTCCAGTGCCTCGGTAGGTGTGGAGACAGGAGTATCCGTGGGGCTTGTTGGCATCAGTTTAGTGCCAGAATCAGTGAGAGATCTTGTCTCAGCGGTTCAGACGAAGTGATGGAGC